TGACGGGATGTTAGTTACAACTGCTGTGATTGTTGTGCTGTCTGCAAACTTGAAAAAAATGATGGATTGATTAGCCGTACATCAGTGTAGAATATGAAGAGAGATTAAACTATTTTATTAGTGAAATAAACACCATTACAGCAAAATATGCTTCCTCTGACTATTTAGTTAGCCAAATGATTAAAACGTTTGGGCCGCGAGATCGAACAAAATGAAAAACTACACTATAAAACTTAAGAGCCAATTTAATCAACAAAATTTTTAACTCAAAATAAATAAACACATTTTACCAAAGTGTAAGACAAAACAATGCTTATACTGTTCCGTAAGGACGAGAAAGAGAAAGCTGAAAGAGGAAATTAACGTGTAAGTTCATCACGTGCACGTAGTCGACCAGGAACCTCATCATGAATCAGAAAATGTACGTCGAAACCTTTGAAACATGTACGAGTAGTGCCGCGATGTTCAGGCGCTTAAGAGAAAAGATAAACGCAAACATTATATCATTCTCATTGTAATTAAAAAGGAGCAGACTCAAGCGACGAAGTTTATGACTACGTCAAAACTTAAACTTTAGTAGTAAGTGTTCTTTTCCACTTCTTGGTATAACGCGCAAAGCAATATCCCAATAAAACCTCGTAGACATTGAAATGTTAACCACAGCTGTCTAAATTTCTATCAATCTCCGTGAAATCAAATTCTATCAGAACTAGAAGTCACTCGTAATTGTAGCTCATATTACATAAAAAACAGCATACAGGCCGAATCGACTGCTCTAGAATTGGCTGCCACTGTTCGGAAAGAATGATTCTGCTGCAATACAGATGGATGAGCTCGGTGATTTCAGCGGTCGAGCCGACTTTTGAATTGATCCAACTGATGAACAGCAGTGGCAAGACGAGATTCGCTTCTTCGCTTAGGATTTCGATGGATTTGGTTCTCTCTGTTAGATCGCGCAGAAACAACACCGAATGACGCAGCACCGGATCCGCCGTCTGCTGTGAACCGTAGTGGCGAATCAGAAGACAAATTGAGTTCCTGACGATCTGGTAGCGAACGCGCACCAGATATGAGCAAGCGCTCCCCGTAAACGTGTCCTGAGTTAACAAAAGGGTGCAGACTTAAGTCAAAAAGCAAAAAATATCTGTGCACGACAGTGACTACTGTGAAGAACTCGCTGTAAACCGAACAAAAGCTTAATAGGGAATCTAGCACAAGGAATGCCGTCTAAAGCCAAATTTCTAACAGTTATGATGAAGGATACTTATGCGATGACGACTTACCCACAAAATAGCACGTTCCTCAGTCACTCCAATGCCACAAAATTTAAAAACGATCACGAACCCCAAAACTGCATACCAAACAGGTAGTAGCAAAGTAACAAAACGTGTGATTAAAAGAAGGATACTCTCCGCGCCATAAACGTAGAACTGGCTAAACGTCGTCTTTTCTACCGATCACTAAGAACACAAACACAGAGAAACACATTCCCTAAGAATGTTGTATGTAACACATGCAAATATATTTGGCTGACAGATCAGTAGAGCCACTGCATACTGCGCTGGTCACAACATTTCCTACATTCTTCTCTCGTTTGCGCTTTCCTCTACCACAATGGTCTTGCGGTAGGTACAGAAGTTAATATAAAGGTCAAGCAACGGATATACCTTGAGGGCAGAGGTTCAAGGAGATGCTCGAAGGTGCCGAACATCCATCTTTAAATAAGCATAATTTCACCCATTCAGTCCGTTTATAATCTGTTGTGGCACTACTTCTATGCATTTCGATACTCATGGGAACATTTCATCAGTCAACGGTTGTATTGTTTGTCAGCAATAGAAAAGCAGCGTTCGGTCGCACATTATTATTAGCAGAATTCATCACTGTCAATTCTATGCCACACTAGAGGTTAGTACAGATCCATCAACGAAACTAGAAATCCGAAAAACGTTGCTACACATCAAAGTGAAGAAGGCCTGATATGTGGATCGAATTTCTCTGGAGGTAATTAAAAATGGAGGAACGACAGTGGTAGAAAAACTCCATGTCCGTTTCATCAAATGTGAACCTTAAAACGTTTCACAGGAGGATGAAAGAGTAAAGTAATTGTTCCCATAGCTAAAGGAAATCGGGTGACTGAGTGCTCAACTACCGTGGCATCACACTACTGTTAATTCACTAGAGACTCTTCTTCTGGAAAGGCGAGGCAGGCAATTGATAGGAGACCACCCATGCAATGCCTCCGGGTGGGATACTCTTTCTCAGACCAAATTTTCACTTTGCATAGGACGTTCAACAATGTCCACGATTCCAACTGTCATGGTTTGCCAGTTTTCTCAGCATTAAGGCTGCAACTGATTCACTATATCGCCCAACGATGTGGAAAGTTTAGAAATGCTATGGAATAGAGCAAATCGCTTCCAGTTAAGAAGAGATATATAAAGAAACCGTTTGCTGTCAAAGTTGAGGGGAAACATTCTGAGTGATTCCCTACAAACTGTTGAGTTCGCCAGCGAGAAGCACTTTCCCCTTTACTAATCAGCACTGTTCTCAACATTCTACTACGAAACAGTGCTAACCCTAGAAAAAGACGGTCTCATTCTAGGGGGACGACACAGTAGATGCAGGGAAGACATCAGGATAGATATTTTGCTGACCTAGACTACGCACATGATCCTGTCCTAGTGAGTAGTGTGGGAAGCGGGGTCTGTCATATGACGGTTTTCGTATGGAACAGCCACTAAAGCCGGCCTTTTCCTTAAGGTTCGGAAAGCAAAAGTTCCAAAGAGCCTGATCGGTACAGCTGATCTCAACTCCATCATCCCCAGCAACGGCACTATCCAGGTAGAGCAAAACAGGAGGATCGCAAAAGCCTCGAGTGCTTTAGGAAACCTGTCGAATACTTGCGATGTGAAGGGAATTATTCCCCCTGAAAATCCGCCAGTACCTTGCCTGTCTTTGTCAGGTCAGTATTTTTGTACGGCATATGGAGACAGTTGTTCTAGTGAAGAAACAAAAACTAAGATCGAACTGCGTAGAACAACTTTGGCTTCGACGTATGAGGAATGACCATTCTCTTCCGAGCAAAAATGACCAAGAGAAAAGGCTGGTTCCGATAGACAATCTGGTTGAGCATACGCGATTTACTCCAGCCAGTGAGCTTCTTGTGTGAGAGTCGAAACACGACAGACGTCGACCACCAGGTCAGCACGCAACTAAGTAAATGTTATTTCTTTTTGCAATGCATTTACCCGTGATTTACAGCGAAAAAATGAATAGCGGCGGATACAGCGGACATCGCAAACCAGAGACCTGCTTACGCAAACGTCTCAAGGTACTTATTACAACAAATAGCAACAGCAATGACAATAAAATTTTGCGAGAAAACAATGAAATTTCAGAAGCGTTTACTCCTTATGCCATGAAACTATGCCAGAAAGTGGTTTCACGCGTCATGGCTTTGTTATTACGCATATATCAATTAATGTACCATTCTTTCGTTATGAAAGAAACGACGCGTAATGTCCTCAAGTAACAAGCAATTTCTCGGTCCGATAATAAGGTCGAGCAAAATCAAATGCCATAAGTTGCGGATAGTAGAATAACGCTCTAATATAAGGATTAACTGTGCAATAAGGCAGAAAATTCGACGAATAAGCAGTCAAGGACAACGTGACACAGTACTACGAGGGGTCCAGTGAACTAACTCCTAGCACAGTTGGCTCTAGAACATACCTCAAAGCGCGATGATATCACGAGTACGTACTGCCATCAAATAAACATGCTGCCAACCACAACGAGCTGTAGCCGGTTCCAAGCTCGGTCGAGAAAGACGGATTGGCGTCAAGCATGCAGCAGGCGGTAAAAACCAACGCCAAAGCCAAATAAGAATTCTGGGGCGTTCCCCAGAGCCGAAGAGTAGCAGCAAACCCCGATGGCTGTGAAAAATGAACAATGGAACCAGTTCTTGCGACGACGGCAATCACAAAAGGAGAGACTGACAAGCAGAAAAAAGCGAGAAAATGCGAATAGCTACTTGGAACATTGGAACAATGACGGGAAAAAGCATAGAGCTAGAGGAAGCTCTTCAAAGAAGAAAAATTCAGATCGCTTGCATTCAGGAGACGAAATGGAAAGGCAAGATGGGGCTAATATGTAAACTCATTTATTGTGGAACATCAAGCATAACAAACGGAATTGGAAAGGTATAAAATGAAGTGACCGAAAATAAGGCAATCGAAGTCAACCGAATTACCGACAGAATCATGGGCGTCAAGCAGAATTTAGAAAGTGGTATTATCAATATAATAAGTGCCTACGCCCATCAGATTGGCCAGAATGAAGCAAAACATTTAGAGCAAACCTATACATTGAACTGTAAAACCGCGAAACGAAAACGTGATAATCGAGGGTGACATTAACAGGCACGTCGGAGAATATCGAAGGGATTACGATAGGATTCATGGCGGACAAAGACAATGTTAAATAAAGGAGAGAACATATTGCAGGCGGCATTTACATATGATCTGGCTGTGATAAACACATTCTTTCAGAATAAAGAAAATTCCTGCAATGCAGGCAGAAGAAAAGTGATATCGACTACTCCCTGCACCTAAGGAACGAACTGAAGGATGTAAGAGATTGCAAAATTATCCCGTGGGAAACTCATAATCCAGCACCAGCTACTGGTCCAAGACCTCTCTCTGAATCAAGCCATTTACACAGTGGATAGACAGTGCTGGAAGCGCGAAGGAAAGCTTAAAGAAACATTCAAAACTGAAGTTACGAAAAAAACGACGAAGGAATAGGAAAGTGGACGAAATATGGGAGCGGATGGCCAGCATATTCATAGGGAATACCAGAGGTCCAGTCAGAGAAAGGAAGGGTATAAACGAGAAACCTGGTGGTGGAATGCGGACCTCCAGTCGACTCTACGACAGAAGAGCCGCTCAAGAAATAGCAGCTATCAAACAATGCGAAACACAGAATAAAATATGCTAGATCGAAGAGGGAAGCAAAGAAAGTCGTCGCCGAAGTAAAGTATAAAGCGTGCAAGAGCTTATACGAAAAACGCCAATGAAGGGGAGAAAGACATCTATCGTATGGCAAAAGCAATAGAAAGATGTCAATAATGTGAATTGCATAAACGACGAAAGCGGAATGGTGCTGACCGACGAAAAATATATCCCCAACCGATGGTGAAGGCACTAAACGTTACTAAACGAAGAACATTCCATAGAGTCCAAAGAAGTCACGGAAGAGATCCCACAAAACTAGGGTCTAGTCGAAAAAATCTCACCGGAGTAAGTGGAACAAGCCTTGAGCAAAATGAAAAATAAAAAAGCCCTTGATCCGGACGGAGTTCCCACAAAAGCAAGGAAAGCACTGAAACAAGAACGCGAGGACTGACTCTGCGTGGTCTCAGCAAAATTGTGAAATGTGAGAAAATGAAAAGCTATACGGTAGTCTGTGAAAACAACCGGAGAATTAAACTCTTATTTACACGATGAAGCTATATGAGAGGGTGGCGGACAAAAGACTGAAATAAGTCTACATCATTGCGAACCAGTCTGGTTTTCTACCAAGCCGGTTAACCACGGATGCCATCTTTGCTTTAAGATCAGTCCCGAAACGTACACAGAAAGCGGAGTCTACATGCTCTTCCTAGACCTGGAGAAAGCTTCTGATCGAATCCCAAGGCAAACAATCTGGTGTAACATGAGAAAGAAGCTGGTATAGGAAAATATGTCAGGCTTATCAAAGACGTATACGACAGAGTGACAACAACAGTTCGAACTACATGCAGCGAAACGGAAGAGTTCCCGTACGCAGAAAGGAGTCCAGAAGGATCTGCACTGAGCCCATTTCTGTTCTCGATGACGAAAGACGTGATAACTGAGAATCTGCAGGAAGCTGTCCCATACTGCATGCTCTATATAGATGCCATTGTGCTGTGCAGCGGAAGCAGGGGATCAGTAGAAAGAAGCAAAATCTCAGGCATAGAGAATAGCCTTTGAGAACGGTTTTCGACTGAGCAAAGGCGAGTCAGAATATATGGCGGGCTATTTCAGTGGGGAAAACAAAGTGAAAGCCACCAAACCAGTGAAAGTAGCGCGGAGTTTCCTGTCTCAAACCTAAGAAGTGAGCGGAGTAGTGAGCGACAAGAAGACTCATCAAACTGAAAGTTGAAGTGTACAGAACGATAGTAAAACCGGTGCTTTTGTACGAAGCGGAATGTTTGGCTACCCTGAAGAGACACGAACAACAGCTGAACTCGGTAGAAATGCGAATGCTCAGATGGATGTGTGCTGTCAGCAGAAAAGACCACATCTGAAAAGTTTCATAAGTCACACTGTTGGCGTAGCAACAATTTCAGAAAAGCTGATCGAAAGCAGGCTCCGTTGGTTCGGTCACGTGAAAGAAGACCCATCGAGTATATTGGAAACGTGGCCCAAGAACTGATACTACCAAGAAAGAAATGAAGGAGAAGACAAAAGAAAAGATGGCGCGACGTCATCAAGAACGATATGAAACTGCGAGAAGTCACGGAAGGTTTAACTAAAGACAGAAAAATATAGAAGAGGTTCACTCGCTTAGGGAATCCCTGCAAAAAGAACATGTATTAAAGAAGAACCCAAGAAGAGTATATACAAAGAAAGGAAACACGTAAATCAATTTTATCACCTTACCTCCTTTATTTTAATGCCCTTATTACAGCCTAATATCTGCTCAGGGTTGTAAATAATTTAACATGTAGGTTTCGAAGAAATTTTAATGAAGACCATAACATATCGGAATTTTCCACCTTTCTTGAATATATGGTACGACTCATGCAAAAATGTAGTGTTAATGCGAGGAGGAAACAAAACTTACCTGGAGTGACAGAACAAGTGGATGACACTGCATCAATGGTCCATAACTTTTACTTGAAGCGGATTGTATTACCTGCAGTCGAAAAATTTCACATAGGGTGTTGATTACGAAACGATCGTTTGGATCGGTGAACTTTAGCAGACCACGAACGGTGGATATCACTGCAGTTTGATAGGCAGAGTGGTCTACTGGTTCATTACTCTCCTTTGTCCACTGAGGACTGAGAGCTGTTTTATCGATTATCTTCTTCAATAACGAGTTTGGATCGTTTTTCTGGTGAATAAGAAGGGCACAATGCTCTACCAGCATGCTTAAAGACTCTAAAATATGTCTTAGGCGAGGATTCGACTGCGGCTTGGAAAGGTCAGAAATAGCGGCCTCGACTGGTGCAGTGACCCACGTTAGAAAAATAGCTGTAAAATGGCATTTCTCGGTCAAGTCGTTGAATCGAAGAGAGCCCACTGTCGAGAAAAACGAGAGTAGTATATCTTTTGAGGTCGAATCACTAGTAATCGTAAACCGATCACTAAGATATAGTTGCAGCGACTGCAACATCCTCAGCTGATATGAAATAGTAACCACGTCACTGCTGAAACCTTCGATCGATAAACAACACCGCAGCCATGTATGGAGAAACTTCAGTTCGCCAGCCATACTGGCAAAGAAAATCTCGTGCATCAGTTCTTCGTTGTGACAGAGTTTGGACATCAGCTCACACAGTTCATAGGTACTAATCTTGGATTCAAGAAACTGTCTCATGAGCGCCTCGATTGACGGAATTTCAGGAACGAGCGCTCGAAATCTATAAGAATACATGAGAAACATGTAGTAAACAGCTCCGAAATGGCCAGACGATGGATAAAATGTGGTCAAGTACTGCACTGTTTCTGTCACCATCTTCGGTACTTTCAAGCTGCATGATTTTCTAGTGGTCATCGAAGTGCTAACCAAAGCGGACACATTCTCCATGTCCAAAGAACGAAAGTATCGTTCGAAAATTAGACCGAAAACGGATAAAAAGTCATCAACGTTTTCAGGCAGCAAGTCGTCCAAATGCCGCGCTTTCTTCAGCAACGTGGAAAAGTCGAATGACAGAACTGTTTCAAGCTCGTCCGAAGAAAAATTGTCACTGCAGGACAGCAAGTCTTGCAGTAAACCAAAAAAGTACAGAATCAACTGCCAAAGGTCTTTTCGCAAATAGATCTTCTGAGAATGTACTTCATAGGAGAGCCCGATTTTCGCAACCATTTGCAACCAATTAGATAGCAGCACTGAACAGCCGTGAGACTTCGTCTTATACAGCAAAGTCATGACAGCCAGACAAAGCCATATAATCTGTACCTTCTTCGCAGGGTTTCGCTGGACATCAATTCCGTTGAAAAGCTCGATTGCTTTAGAACAGTTCGGTTCCAACTCTAAACTGACCAGCCATTACATAATGACTAATCGACAATCGTGGTAAAAACAATTTCACCGTCAAGATCAAAGTAATGACATGAAAAACGATCGCATTCTTTACTAGAGACCATACTGTTCTCAATTTCATGACATCACATATGAAAAGTCTAACATAATCTATTAAAAGTATGACTGGGTTGTCTAATCTATTGTGCGCCTGAATTTTCAGTCAGGCATAGTTACAAATAAAGAGAATGCGCGTTAAGAAAATTGAAAATGACTTCTTAACTCTTAAAAATGCCTGCCATAAAACGGTTGAATGGAAGTGAATATGTTTTCTGAGAGTTTCCATCATTATTTAAGACATCTTCGGAATGAACTGATGAATGCTTCTGTACCCGAAGCCGAAACATCGAAATACAAGAGAAAGTAGAATCTTATGTCATGACCAAAGTCATTCATGTTGAAAAGATCGAGGGTTTTATTTAAGACAGTAATCTGATCGTTAGAAAATAAGCCTTTATACTTTATTTATTAACAGTTCTGCTGCCGCTACCATTGACAGTTTGGGCAGCTTATAGAAAAAAGTATACTTAAAAGGACGACTATCTAGCTTTCTTAAGCATATATCCAGCTTCCATAAGCGTAATTAGTGTCCCCCGAAACCTAATTTAGATATTCAAAGCGTGAATTATATAACAGCCTATTATCTATAAACTTATGTTATACAAGAGCCCAATCAACATAATCGACGATGATATCAAACCTCTTAAAATTCCTAATCAAACATCTAAAACAATATTTGAATCGAAGGGGGATTAAAACTAATAAATCTCTAATATTAAATGATACAATAATTAAAAGAGCAGTTCAGATGGTACCATGCAACGAATAGAGCAGACTAAACAAACAAATTGCAAAAGTACTCAATGTGCTCATCATTTGTTCCCCCTTCTGGACATCGCCCCAGCCTCGTTCCCTGTGCATAAACTCCTCGAACCTCTACAGTGCAACATGACCATATCGATCAAAATTTCTTCCATTCTATAAAAGGACCCTTAAATTTAAATCTAACTAAGTCTGCCTGCTTTTAATGCCTACTCAAGGTAAATAAACCTACGGTATACGTTAAGTCAAGTGTCAACAACTCCCTCAAATAACTCAAAACTAATGGTAAATCCATCGGTCGTTAATAGGCGGAAACCCTTAAAAATTACCGAGCTCTGATGGAGAAGAAACAGGCAAAGCCCTCTGAAATAGCATACTAGACCATGACGCTAAAAACTTATTTACTAGAATCCACACTCTTGTATTAAAATTACTCAAAGGTTGTACAGCTGGGAAACGTGGTTTAACTTAAATTTAACTGAAACGACAACTGTTTTTGCTACTGTCGGTGAGAATAACCAGTACGTGTCATCGCACTGAATTTACACATCAGATTCACAACGTTCATTGAACAGTTTAAGAAAATCACGGCTCAATAGTATCATAACACTTTAGTGGATGGATGCAAACCGCATCATTGTTGCGTTGAACAATAAACTTCTCGAAACAAATAAACAAAAATATTACTATAATACAAGTTATATGGCCAACGAATAGTTGAAAAATTTGTAACTATAACAACTAGTACTGCTAGAGTACATAATCAATGCGCGCACTTTACCAATACAAATTTTTCCACTGATGAATACCTACCTATCAATATACAAATCGATAAAGGCATTTCTGGTAGGTGTCTAGCACAGGCTGGTGTTCGGTTAGCCACACCGTGTGATGCGGTTTCGCACTGCAGGTTCTATAATATCATGAATCCTCTGTCTGCTTAAACGGCTGTTTACGTTGTCAGGCGCCAAACATCCGAAGTGAGTTAAAATTTCAATTTAAAGTGAATGATGTTTCTTCTGATCAACACTTTTGCTACAATGCTACAGTTACTGCGTGGTAAAAGGAACACAAGCAAATCTGTCTATCTGATTCGTGCACAGAACAACTTGCTTCCTGTTTAACATCTGTCACGTTTCGATTCCCAGACAGACTTGCGAACTGGAGTGGAAGGATATATCACGGCTCATTATTTTAATCTTTGTACTTACTGAAGATACCTACATCTGGAAAAGAATATCATTTTTACACGGTCTCATCAGTTAAGCTTCATTATCCACTTAATGCATCGAAGACAGTGCTGTTGCACGCTGCACAACTATCTTTCTTGGCCTCTCCTTAGAACGGTGGTCTATACTCCACATAAAAGCACTGACCTTGACAAGGCAAAGTATGGGCGGGTGTTTTAGTGCAAAATAGTATCCATTCATCAGTCGAAAAAGAGAGTTTGTAAGCGTTAGGATGCCGGTCACCTGTACATTTACATCCACTTTTTATAACAGCTTTTTTAGGGTGCGGCATCGATCTCCGTCGTGAAGCCATGAGCCAACGTGCCACGTGTTTTCAAGATAAAGTTTACAGCTTGAAGACTGTTACAAAGCACAGTATCCTGCGTCTCTCTTGCGCGGCTATATTCATTCATCCACATACTGAAAGGCGAGTATCGACAGAGCTACCTTACTCATTTTAGTGCCTTTGCCTTCAAGTGTTCGATTGGCAACAGAGAGTATGAGGCTAGGATGATCCTCCAATCTAACTCTAGTGCAGCTGCTGACGATGATGGAACTGAAGTACATAGACTGATCGATCTTCACCTTTTCACCTTCTTATTGCCCTTGCGAATCTGTTCCATCCAACGGGTTTTTCACAACTTGTGACTTCTGGACGGTAAGGATGAACTAGTTGTCAGAACCGTGTTACACACGAAGGCTGTCAGGTGACAAAGCTCGCTTCCGCTAATAATTTCCATGACAATATCATCTACGTTTCCAGGTGATCAAGACAGCTGCAGAAGCAGCGTTGTCCGAAGGAAGAATAAAAGTTATTAGTAAATCAAAACTAAAAGAAAGTTCACAATGCGAAAGTACTAGCTTTAATGTAGCTGTTTTAATAAACTATATTTTAAAAGAGGCCTGCATGATAAGGACAAAATTATTTCCCACTTAACTGTGGGTTTTCCTAATCAGCCAAAATTCAGAAGTGATACGTCTAAAACACCAGCAGATATTGCAGAAAGAATATTTTTCTAACCTTTACAGCTGCCCTGAAACAAGCCCACTATCCACCTCATACACTCTAGAGGAAATGAACGTGGCACCGTTGGTCACAAAGAACAAGAGGCTGCTGGTGATGATGAAATTTTCCCTGAATTTCTTAAGAACTTGGGTCCAATAGGCCGACAGTGGCTGGCCTCTCTTTTCACGGCAATCCATACAACCGGAAAAATTCTGACCGCCTGGCGGCGTGCCAGCCGTCGCCCTCCTAAATCCAGGAAAACCTCCAGAGTCCAGACAGTCACAGGACTATCACTTTACTGAGCACGGCCAGAAAACCGATGGGGCGAATCTCACCTGCCACTGAAGCCGCTCTCCCAGTGGAACAAGCTGGCTTTCGATCTGGACGCAGTTGTTGTGAGCAACTACATTCGCTCACCAGCTTCATTGAGGCAGGATTACAACGGAAACATAAAACAGGGGTGATTTTCTCGATCTATCATCAGCTTATGATTTGATCTAGCGTGATGGTCTCATATGCAAAGTCTCTAGAATAATCAGGTGCCAGAAGACTCTTCGGCTTATTGCAGCCATGATTAGCGACCGTCGGTACCGGGTCCACATCGATGGATGGGTCAGTAAGGAAAGGATCCTCAGCAGTGGACTTCCACAAGGTACAGTATTTTCTCCATTGCTGTTTAACATCTATACCAGCGACCTCCCATCAACAGCGTCGAAGAAGTTCGTTTATGCCGATGATGTCGCGCTGGCAACCAAACATATCGACTTGCAGATGCAAAGCTGCATACTCACGTCTGACCTCACTGATATGACGCAGTATTTTGACCAGTGGAAGCTACACCCGAACCCGACGAAGACTTTCGCGACGGTTTTCCATCCGCACAATCGACTGGTCAAAGAGAAACTCACAGTTGAATATTGTGGTCAACGTGCAGCACGAAACGATGTCGACATATCTGGGCATTACTCTTGATTGAACCTTGTCATTTAAGCCACATCTGGAAAAGACAGCAGAAGATCAAGACGAGAATAAACTTGTTACGAAAACTTGTCGGCACCTCTCGGGGAGCAGGTACCCGCGTGCTGCGTACTTCGGCCCTGGCGGTGGTGTATTCTGTCGCGGAGAAATGTTCCCCAGTTTGGTGCCTCAGCTGCCACACGAGCAAATTAGACACACAGCTCAATGAAGCTATGCGAATAGTAACAGGAACCATGAAGCCAACCCAAACACAGTCGTTACCGATTCTAGCGCATATTGAACCACCTCACCTCCGGAGGGGCTAGCAAGCGTATCGCATTTTCCAGAACATTGATAGAAATCGCCAGTTATTCATCCATCGTGTTCTGCAACACTCACCAGCACGACGCCTGAAATCACGCCACCCACCATGGGAACGAGCAACGACACCGCGTCTGATTCTCGAGGAATGGTGGCGAGCAGAGTGGACGCTACAGCTGTCCATAACAAAGACTTAATCTCCAATCCGACCACAGAACCCCCTGGCATAGACTTGACTCGCCTAGAATGGTCGAGATTAAACAGGATTCGAACAGGACAAGAATAGGACACCTACTCCACCGCTGAAAGATGAAGTCCACCCCGCAGTATGACTGCGGTCGTGAAGATCAGACTATGCAACACATTATTTCCGAATGTCCGCTGCGAAAGTTCTTCGGCAGCATAACTGCAGTCCAGAATGCCGCCGCGGCGGCCATTCACTGGCTTTGAAATCTTGACTTTGACCCATAAAGTTGCTAGTCATTTCCTCCAGTCATACAACAGAAGAAGATTAGCCAAAAGTACACGTGTGGGCAGTTTGCCTTCCATATATTGCAGAAGTTTTCATACAAACCTTTGAAAATCCAACCTTCGACACTGAACTCGCTCTGCTCTATAGTTTTGTAGTAGTTTGTAGTAGTTGTAGTAGTCGCTCTGTAGTAATTTTAAAAAGCATCCTAAACCAAAATACTCGATCTATTTAATTTCTGACTTACCAGCAAATACGAAACGTTTATTGTACTGTTGTAATGTTTGCTTGCGAGAAAAAGCTTCGCTTGTGCACTGATCCCAAGTGCGATTTAAACAGTACCTTAAATCTTCATACCAATTATTCAACATAAAGACTATCCACAGTACAATATAGCCAAGCTCATTCGATCAGATCAGAAGTCTTCCTCTGTTCACAGAGATAAACAACCCCATGCTTCCTCAAATTTTCCTCGAATGCCGTTCAGATTTCGCAGAGCGACAGACATTCATCAGTTCCATTTCCGTGCAGTGTTTTATGAACAAAAAGTAGTAGCGCCTGTTGACAAATAACTAAGCAATGGCATCTGAAGGCGAAGGCGATCGAACGATGTTACACAGTTGAAAAAAAGGCTAAACACAATGTATGTATACTGTTTTGATACTTGTTGTTTAATCTATGGGCGGCAGGAAGTTGTCTTCACATCGTCTACTGGTCTTTGAGTAAATGGGTTTACACTGAATTGAAAAACCGCACTGTTGCAATTTCAAATATCTTAGCTCTTTTAGACCACTGTTTTTTGATAAATCAGTCATCATTCTCACAATTTTGAAAGTACGTTACATTTCCTGCTGTAGTAAGCTCACGAAAAAACGCTTGCGATAGTTCTGAAAGTTCTGCATAAACTATTCCTGATTCATGTTGGCAACGTATAATTTTTACCTATGAAAGAACAATGCTATATGAAGGTGACGGACTTTGTTACATATGACAAACACAACATCATGAGAAAAGTAACCTGTATGTAGTGCCAGCACAAGGAACAGCGAGAGTACATTGTACAATCCTCTTTCAGATAATTCTTCAACTTTACGAGCGTAGAACTTGGTGAATATGCGTCCTTTCATTTGATTCCACACTTTCACGCCTGAAGCTAAACCGTGACTGATGAATTCACTCAAAATCAACTCTAAACGTAAGCAGTAAATAAATGCGTTACCTGATCTGATGTTGCAGTGCGATGCCAAAATAGCCAGGAACATTTCGAAACTGTTCAACGATAGGTCAAGTTGGCGGGGGCTACCAATGCGTTGCACTGATTGTAGCCACTGCCGCGGGTTTTTGGGAAGCACAGCGATATCGCCGATTTCGGGACCAAGGAAAAAGCTGTCATTCAAGTGTTTCGCGTATAAGTCCCACAGAATACGGGGCACCTCCGCTGTCGTCATATGAGACTGAAACGCAGCGAAATAGCACTGAAGCATGCAGCGCAGAAACGTTTCGGTGTTGCGGTTCAAACAATCACCAGTCGATTCCAACGAGCATATCGAATAAGAAAGAAGGTACTTGGCCACCGCATCGCAGGAGCACGTATCGACGTCGACGAAGATTTTCAACCTTTGCAGTGAAACAAGCAAATGCCAACAGAACAGTGCAATAGAAGACACGTTATTTCCGAGTGGAGCAAAGTTGAGTTTGCCTGAAAAGGCAGTTTGACAAACAAGTTTACGTGGTAAAGATTCGGGTTACACTCCTTTAACGACTACGCGTTTTAAGAACCAAACGCACACGCTTTTATATATATATATAAATTTCATTAGGCACAACTCCAACAAACAAGGTCATTTGGCGTTATCATATCCTTCCCTCCCATTGCTCA